TGATTCACTATTAGTGAGTCCCCAAATGAAAAAAACTAAATCAAATCGACTAACTTTCCACTTATTGTGCTTTGCACACATTCTGTCTAAACGATGTCCTAACCTGTTGTTTTGAGCAAATCTTGATTTACCTAGCGTAATCGTCGAATTAACGTTGAAGTACCTTTTATTCGAAGAGTTAATATTGTCTTATGCGTGTTTTCGTTGAATGGCTGTAGTAAAAGCGCCAAACCAACGTCGTACACTCTAAAGCTTTCTTTGCCCGTGCAACTACATTCCAGAAGATGAAAAATTCTATCGATATGCGCTGGGGATCGATTGTGCTGGCCTACATCTATGACCTTGACCTAAGCGTAGTTGCGTCCGTTATGGGAGGCTCGACGCGGTCTATTTCTCGTTGGGATTTACTGTTTTGCCGTAGATGTAATGTGATACCGAGCACGCGAATTCCGCTTCAAATGAGAATGAACCTTTGTTAATTGCTGATTGGCCCGTGAAGGAGCAGGACAGTGTGCAGACAAGCACTTGGTCAAGTCAACAAGCTGGAAAAGAAGTAGCCGGGCATTGCCTTGTCGCAGAGTTGCTTTGTTATCCGGTATGATTAACTTATTTTTAACGTTGGGTTATGTTCTAGCTTTAGATACACGAAATAGATTAGTCGTTGCTTTAGAGGCGCTATTCATAAGCCAAAGTTGATGAAAGCACAATAAATACCAACTGATTTCAACTATGTGCTCTATATTGAGTGAAAATAGTACCCACCACAAGAGTGTTGGTCAATGAAACCAGGAGCTCGCCGAGTGCTCTAGCCGGGCGTACGCGCATAGCGTAGACGTCGCTGGGTTGAATCAATACTAGTCAATAGATGTGTGTGACCGTGCTATCAATGATGCCCAGCTGACGCTTCGTCAGATGAAAATCACCGGTTGGGCTTCTCTTCAGTATTCGCTTAATGAGGCTTATACGTTGGAGCTAGTCACATCTGCTCAAGTGAACTAGAACCCCTTACATTTTCAATTTCATATACATATTACACCTCACGCCATAATTCAAGTTGTTACCAAATTATTCAATCACCTTTTGCATTTAAGCAAGTATCCGCCTCACACCCAAAAGAGGAACCGTCCGAAACAGGTTTCCTAAAGTAAGGTTTCGAAACTTACTTTAGGATCATCCGAATTGTCCTCACCTTAACAAAAATAGCATTTGATAACCTTCCGTACTCGTCACGCATCTTTTTTCCAGCTTACTCGCCTTGTCGCCGTCTTTACTCTAAATTAAACTCGTTCGGATCACCGCACTGGCAAATTTATTGGAAAATGATAGTAAAGAGGCAAGTTGATACTACAAATTTTATCTAGAACAGAACGCAATAGGTCTAAAAAAAACTACATGGTTTGACCTATTTCGCCGCTACTTTTCCGGCTGATTCATCCCGTGAACAGCCCACGAGAGCTTGCTCATATGTACAACAGTAATTTTTGTGTACATAATGAGGAAGTAGCTGGAAAACTGAGAAGTTTCATTTATACCTGGTCAAACCGAATTATAATGCTTTCAGTAATCAAGTTCGTGGGAAAAATGTTGGACTGGCGGTCTTTTATGGAATGTGGTTAATTGGAGCCAGTTTTCTCTTTTTACTATAATTTGTTTCCCATAGCATCAGAACAAGTTGTTGTCCATTGGTAATATATTGGTGGAGAATCAGTCTGTTCTGAAGCTGGCGGTGCTCGTCGCCGTTTGTAGAGTGGAGTGGGTAGTGGATGTTTGTTATCGCGGCACAGGTCTGGAGGATGTCATCGTACAAGTCCTTTCTCCGCCTGTGCTTATCGGCGCAGATGCGCCATAGCGTACACGTACGACCAAACCAGTTCTCCACAATGATGCGGTCGCTGGAGATGGCGGCATTCTGTTGACCCGCATCCACAGACAGGTGATGCCCTTCGTTGGGTTTATGCACCGGATGTGTTGCTCGAGGCCCTTGTATCCCTTGACCGGAGGACGTTGGGGTACTCAGCAACTCAGGAGACCCGCGTCTCTCTAGGTGCAATCTTCGTTCGACTTTTATTGGCGAGTGGTATGGTGGAGGACCTCGTTGCGCTTGAGATCGTAATGTCAGTGCAGTTTCGTCGGTAGTGCTCGGTGCAGTTGATAGCAAATCCTTCTCAGGCTCACCTAATTCCAGGGGCTGCCGATTATGTTATTTATATGAATTGATTGGCCAAGGTGTCAATAAATAATGTGACCTAGCCTTATCAATTGACGTGATAAATAATATCATCTTGGTTGTTAAACAAAATAATGGCGTATTCAACTCTTACTTGTATTAATTCACATGTAAGTCAGCAGCTAGTTGAGTTGGTCTACCGTAGAAACATCCCAAAGCGGGCGTTTTCTCGTAAGAAGATAATCATCCCCAGCGTGATGGGCTGCAAGCCATTGCGTTCATGCCCGAGTGTTGTGCGAGCAACACTGAAGAATCGCTCCACCTTGCTCGAGGTGGTTGATATGCTACCAACGAGACTGTAGCGAGCCTCTCTAGCCTCGAGACGACGGCGCTTCTCCAGACGCTGCACAAGGGACTCATCAATTGCAGATTTGCCCGCATACTAATCTAATGCCCGTCCCAACTGGAGTAAACGCATGCGTTTTTGGTCACTTTGCGATTTGATTGACTACTTTTTCGTGGCAAAAATAATACCTTAAACGCATGCGTTTTCGCTAATTACTGTATTTTGACCAACTACATTGTTTTCTTCTTTTTTTTTTTTTTTACCAATCAACGAAATTTTTCTGAACTATTGCTTGTCGCTAGACATTGTATCGCATCTGCAGCTACGGGTCGGGTCTCAAGTTAGCCCTCCTCATTTTCCGCGCAGAAGAGCTGTGTTCCTGCTTCGCGTCGCCGGCGCTGCTGGAAAGTAGAAGATGAGCTGTCTGGACTGCTTATTTGCTTGGTCATTTTCAAGCAACTTCGCGGCAGAAAGAAGGATCCTGTTGTCCGAAACAGAATTTACTGGAAAGTGCATGCTTCTACCCTTTTAAAAGCGTCAGCGTTCAAGAAGTATTACAGGATGGATATTACGATTTTTCAAGATTTATTGTGCATCCTGGGACCATATCCAGTGGTCGATTGTTATCAGTGTCTGCGGCGATCTCGAGGTGTTCTTCCGTTTACTCCAGCGGCAATGTTGCAGTGTGCACTATCATGGCTAGCGGGGAGTAGCTATCATCACGTTCGTGAGAATTCGGGAATTTGTAAGTGCGTTTTACCGTGTTGTGTATCGTGTAATGTACGCAATTAATGACGCTGACAAGCTTGCACCTCGATTTCCCAGAACTTCAGATGAGTTGGAAACAACGTCCGCTTCATTTCGGTCTTGCAGTAACTATGGAGTGATTGAACATTGCATTGAGGTTATTGACGGGTGGCTTTGCCCGATCCGTGTGCCTCGGCAAGATGAATGTGCCGAGTCTTGTCTTTTTTCTTGGGTCATTATCAGAAGTACGGATTAAACGTTCAAGCCAGTGCAGATTCGCTGTGCCATTTTACAGCATTTTCAGTCAACTCATCCGGTGGCATGAGCGATTCATATGCATATCAAACGGTGAAAACTAAGCAGCGTACTTCGAGATATTACTGGACCTTACTTTGTTATCGGAGATAACGCGTATGTCCAAAGCAGAAGTGTGATGACGCCATTTAACAAAGCATAGCTTTGTGACCGATCTGAACGAGATAGTTACAATTTTCATGTCAGCCAGCTTCGAATTCGAGTGGAGTTAATACGTGGAGAATTTTAAAGCAACCGCTTTTGGTTAGTGTTCGCCATTGCAAAATTCTAAATTCGGCGTGTATCCAACTGCACAACTTCTGTCTTTCACAACGCTGTCCGTCTGCCAAATCGGCACCGGATCAAGGTGTGCGGTCATTTATAAGAGATGCACGCTCCTGGAATAGTGAAAGATCCTTTGACTACGAACGATCTAGTGTGGAGCTCCAAGACGGCAGCCTTGCGAGTAGAAATTTGCTCCGTCCCGAGCGAAACAGGTCTAGAAATCGAATGCAGAGTAAAGATCGAGTGGAGGCAGGCATTGCTGAACAAGGCTCAGAAGATCAAGAACTTCGTGTGCTCCGTGTCGCGGAGGCTCATTTACAGGGGAAGCTGACGATATTGGGGGGTGGCAGGGGTGTGATTGGTTGCCTTGCTACGTGCGAACTCCATCCCGGCAAAGCAGATTCACGTTAAGACGCCGTCCAACCTTCTCTCTCACTGTACGGCGCGGCGAAAAGTAGTCGAGGACGGCGTACTCTACGCACTCATCAAGCTCTCCCAAGTAATGATGTCCGGTACGACAACCACCGGAGAACGTCGAGGTCCCCTATCAATCCAAACCAGTTCGTTGTCGGCCTTAACAGATGATGTCTTCAGTATCGACTTACGCGCCTCTCGTACGACTGCCAGGCCTTTTGGTGTCCAACTACATATAGGACCTGGTAATGTACACCGTTCCCTGCGCCCTCGCCTTGATCTACGGCTTCAACGTGTCGTCCAGGACCGGTCAAGATTGCAACAGCTGCACGTCTGCCACATTTCCCTGCAATAATCCTCCTGTTCATCCTCTTCGGCCTTGCGGTCTGCCCGTTCGCCTACTGCCTGTCGTTTTGTTCAAAACGCACGCGGCTGCCCAGACGACCACGATCATGCTCAACTTCGTTATCGGCGTCGTGATGATGATGGTGTCTTTCATCATGAGCGTGATTGGATCCACTTCGGACGTTGACTCGGTTCTGGTCTTCGTCTGGTGCCTCTCTCCGCTGTTCAACCTCGGCATGGGCTTACTGCAGCTGGCTGGTCGTGACCGCTATTGAGTACATGGCGCTCGCAGTCTACCTCGACTACAGGAACACGTTCCCAAAGGTGACGAAAGAAGTTGAGGACGTTGACGACAGGGAGCTTGAGATCGATGAAGACGTCAAGAAAGAAGTCAAGTCAAGGCAGTTGTTTCATTGCCAGAATATACGATATGTGTAGTTAATCTTGTATTCTCAAATGCTTTAGAAAACTTAGCGATTTCTGAAGTACAACACGGAGCCTCATTGGCAATCACGACAGATATAGATCTTGTGCGCGTACTCCATCCATGATCCTCTGTTTTTCATCAAGAAAAAAATCCAAGTCGACTTGAAGACGAAGCTTTTTGGGCTTGCCGCCGAGATTATTTCTCATTCGATCTTATCGATACGCTTGCAAAGATCATCGAGCATCTTGTAGTGCTCGGAACGAACTCTGACAGCAGCCTGTTTGTACTGATCTGTCGCAACTGTGATCTCCGCCTCTCTCGCAGCTGCGATTCTGCCAACAAGCATTACCAGCGCGTCCGTTGAGTAGGAATTCGTTCTGGGCTTCTTGTTCGGAGTCGGTTTCGTGGAAGCGTTCTTACTCGACCTTTTTTTTCGTTGAACTGCGTTTGCTGGGCGTAGAACTTCTGCGCTCTCGTGTCGGAGTCGAGGACGAAAGTGAATCAAATTTGTCCTCCTCGAACAATCCACCTCGGGCACTGTAAAGGGCCTCTGGTCGCTCCTGTCAAGGAATTAGAACGGCTGTACGTATAATGTCGGTACACTAGGCTCAGTAACTAGGCTTATCTTCAACCAGTACCATAGGTACAGCAGGGCCATCTTGCCTTGCACAAACGGCTTAAACTGCCGTTCGTGTGTTCCAGATAAGCGAAAGTTTGCCGCACAAATGCTGTAAAAGGACGCCAATTCTTTCCAGAGATCTTTGCAGTTTAGACGGGCTGTGTAGCACAAGGATACCAGGATCAATATCTTCAAAAGCAGGATCGTCGTTAATAAGGCCTTGAAAGGCCTCATCATTTGAGTGGCAGTAGCCACGTCACTCCAAAACTGGTTTTCAACCAAAGACTGGACTTCGTCCAAGTCAGCTCGATCAAAGTTTATTCCTGCGTATTTTCAGTGATATTTCATTAGACGATGTATGCGTTATTAAAAAGATTACTCACCTGTAGTTTCAATGAGTCTCATGAACAAGTTGTCAGACAGCACTACATTAGCTAAACGAAACGCCCAGTGCTTGATTCGACGGGTGCCATCAGCAGCCATTGTTGAGGCCGCCGAACTACTTTCTCCACTGTTTATAAGCTCGTCGTAGCGACGAAGACACGTAATCCGATCCGTCTTGATCGCTTTCGTATTGAGCTTGATTTGACGAAGACTACATTCCTTCCGAATGAGGTCCAACGTCTTCTCCTCGTACGGCTCCCAAGTGTAGTGCCCCTCCACTATGGTGCCACTACGAACGGAGGGGATGGAGTAGCAGGTGCAGCATCTTCTTGCACGGCAGTATTTCACTGCCTAGAGGGAGCGCCGGCAAGACAGGTTGCTGTGGGGTCTGCATAAACAGCGGCGCTGGAAACGGCTAGATGATCATGATCGTCAAGAGAATTTTCTTGGAAAGAGAGCTGGACAGGTGGTGAGCTCGCTGCATCTATTTGCTCCGGGTCTAGACGGCGAGCAATGGGGACGTCTGGCTCCAAAGCTGTAGATGGCACGAATCCACGAATCGCTCTTTTCTCGACGAACGTCGAAATATCGCTCATTGGTTGGTTCATAGCAACATAATTTTGTTCAATCATGAAATGTTTTTTTTCCAAGAATTCATTCCCAACCGAAGTGTGCGGGTAGGGGACGCATGCAACGCATGCGTCAGAGAGACACTTCGGTTGGGAACGGGCCTAAGTAAGAATTATATCTTCGCATAAATAATGTTTCCAAAATAGTACTTTCGTTGCCTAAATAATGGGATACTACTTATCACGGCTCATAAATAATGTGATAATATGTATGGCCATTATTGTAAGTGCCATTTATTCTTCGGCAACCCTGCCTAATTCTCTACGTCGTATCCATACTGTTTGTGCTTGGCACTGAAGAATGGAAGGGCCCAGCCATGTTGCCAGCCGATCGATTGGTCTGTTGAAACGTTACTTCCGTGGCGTACAACTCGTACGGGTGGTGTGTGAACGTATTGCCAGATGTCACAAGCATTCACGTGCATCTCCCCCCCCCCCTGGGACTTTTCGCTTACTGAGTTGTCCTAGAACCTAGGGGTGATGACACGAATGCAGTTTGTTATGGTTTTGATAAAAGTTAGTGTTTTGACCTGGAAGATGTTATCTAACATCTACCAGGTCCCTCCATTCTTCCGTACGACGAACATCACGTCCTTGCCCTTGTATGTCGAACGCCTTCAACATTCCTGTTCCGGGCAGTTTGGGGACGCACAGACATCCACAGCGTGTTGAACTCACGCGGTGTGAAGTTCGTGAGGCGGAGTATTGCGTCGCCGCCTCCATCTGCAACGAAGCTGTCGTTGATAGGGCATTTCGATACCGCCTTCACCACGAGACACTAGAAGATACACTTGTTTGCTACAGAAGGTGATGGGATGTGTTATCGAAAACCGTGGCAACAACTCCTACAAGCGTCAACATAAGCGCAAAGCGAAGCTTCGTAAAGGTATGTTGCTGGAGATGAATTACGTGTGTGATGTGTCAGTCTACTTGCTAGGTCCAGCTTATCACTTTCTGACAGCGCAGCAGGCAGTCGAAAAGGAAGAACAGCTTAGATTGCAACTAGAGGCCATTAGAATGCTGTCAAACGAATAAGCACCCAGTTTTATATTCCATTGAGCACTACCTAAAATGGGCTTTGGGCACGTAGCTCAATTGGACAAGAGCACCGTCGATTGTGCGTATGGACGCAGGTTCGATTCCCGCCGGGGCCTATTTTTTATTTGCGTAAGACCGTGGATTTAGTGATTTGCATAACCCTAACATTAGGTTCTAATCTGTTACCTGCTCGCATACTTGATTTTTGTAAAGGGCATGCTCTTTTAACCTTCCTAGCGTGCCACTACCCAAGGAATGACACAGATTACAAGATTATTTGCCGCACTAGCGTGCACGGGTTCGATCCATGTGCTATTTGTAAGGGGTCGCAACCAAAGGATTTGCTACATTAAACTAGTAATTTGAAACGGGCGGAGTATTTTTTTTTTTCGAATATTATTTTGTGACTTCAGGAACCACCCAGTATTAAAATAAATGAAATATTCGAAGTACTCTTATTTAAAGCTTGTATCTCTTTTAATACCCAGATCCTATTAGCATGGATGCTTCAGGAGACGCACCCGCCGCCCTCAGCGAGCAGGAGCTGCTGGCGTCGCTTCCTCCTCCCCCCTCGGCTCTTCCCGACTACCCAGGACCATCAAACACCATCGAAGAGGAGCACACTACAGCTGAATCCGCCAGCGAAGATGCCCCAGACAGCAACAGTCGATCTTCCTCCAGCTCTAAACTACCTGGATCTGCAGCCAAAGCTTCGTCTGCTGCGCGTTCTATGGCCTCCAAGCTGGCCAAAAGTGGACGTAAAGTTCTGTCGCCTCTAGGTCACAGTAGCAAGCCTAGCTCCAAAACTACAGCTACATCGTCTCCAGCCTCCACTACGACCCGTAGCGAAACTGAGACGAGCTCTCCGAGCTCAGTAGACGCTACAATCGCTGATCAACTGGGCTCTGTGGCCTCCGCTGCTGGCACCTTGACGTCAGGCCTCACATCGTCCATAGCTAGTGCGTCATCGTCCTTTGGATCGCTGTTATTCGCGTCCCAAAGCTCCAGTATTAGCAACACTGACGAAGTCGAAGAACGCTCGAGTAGTGCCGACCGCGCTGCTGAAGAGGCTGCAGCTGTTGCAGCCGAAGCAGCGGAAGTATTGCGACAGGTGTCAGCTCAACAGAGAATGAGGATCTTGGAGGACTTGGTACAGCACCGACGCTCGGACTGGAACTACCTTAAAGCGATGCATGAAGGCTCCAACTATTGGCTGAATGTAGCTCTACTGAGAGAGCAACAGGTGATGAATCATGTGGGATACAAGCAGAGTATTCGACGGGGTGCACAGTTCTTTTACTTGGGCATTGGACTGGGGAGATTAGTGGGGGAATCGACCCACCCGGAGCTGCTGGCCATGGACTGCTGCCAGTTGCTGGAAGAACTGGAATTTTACTTCTCGTCGTCGACGGTGCAAGGAATGGTAATAAATTTCGATGTGGTGTTGATTTTTTTGCGGATACTAACGTGGTGGTTGTATAGAAACTGATGGTGGCGACGTCGAGTACGCTACACGAGCCTCTGGGCAAGGAGAACAGTCCGCAATACTCAGCCGATGAGCCATTCCGCCCAACCATGCACAAGTGGAACCAACGACCGGCTTACCGGCGACTTATGACGCCTCCGATTGTAGGATTTCTCTTCTTTGTTCTTGGATTCATTTTTAAATGCTGATGATTTATGGTCGTTGTTGCTGATCGTAGCCTTTCCCGCTGGACTACAGAGAGATTCTGCTGTCTTTATGCGATATTCTAGCGCTCATTTACAGCAAACTTGTCGAGGACAACAGTGCCTCCGAGAACTTAAACCTCTTCCAGTCGATCATCCGCTTCGACGATCGGATCAAGGTGCCATACTACGAGTTTGCAGCTTAAAAACCTATCAACTAACATTCTTGATGTGCTTCGCTGACTGTCTAGAAACTTTTCATCGACCCTGTGAAGAAGGAGTTTTCAGCCGTAGCGTCTCAAGTAATGGCCGAGGAGATGCGACTCGTTCGCAAGGCCTACGCGTCAGGATCTCGGGAAGAGCCTCTACCAACGCCTCAATCGGAAAGTGAAAACACCCCCGCTACGAATGGGGACTAGACGCATACATTAAGATGCTTTTACATTTTCAACATGATACTCTCTGCCTATGCTTACGCTGTCACGGTGAACGTGTTGGATGTGCCTTCATATGCTGTCAGCCTACCAAGCAGGTTCTTCGAGTATCCGCGATGCACAAAGCGGTAGGTTCCCGCTACACTTGTGCGTCCTCCTTTGCGGATGTTCCACTCGCACGTGTTCTTGCTTTCGGCAATGAGGTAGCGCTCCCAGCGGTAGCGTAGATCCCAGTGCGCGTCGGTCAGGACGGTTGTGTACGCGCCGTTCGATCCGAGCTTCTGTACGTCACAGAAGGACGAGACCAACGTGAGCGCGTTCTTTGGGTGTGCGCCGGCGAATATTGCGGAAGCCACACTACCAACGGTGTACGAGCTGGACGGCTGCGTGCGTACGTCGCTGAAGGAGCGCAGGAGCGGTGCCGCATCCATCACCACTCCTGTCTGCATCGTAATGAGGGAGGTGCGGTCGATCTGCATTGGGGTAGGTCCCACGTCCAGCGGAACGGAAGGATCTACCACAGACGCTGCAACTCGAGTGAGCTCCTGTTGCACTGCGGCCAGCTGGTTGGGACCAAAGAGTGTCGAAGCACCTTCGTAATTCTGCGTAAGATATTCCTCCTTCGTGGTCATGTACTGCGCATAGGCGTTGCTAATCGCAGCCAGCTCAACTTCCGTCACACCAGTGCTTGCAAGCGCCGTCTTGACTGTGTTGCGGATACGTCTTCCAGCCATCGTAGTGGTCTCGAAGGTAGTGACGGCGATAGCGAACTGTCCTATCTTGACGACCTGCACGGGTAGAATGTTGGGTACCCACGGCACGGGTTCCATGAGTCCGACGGCTAGCAACGGCACCTTGTTGACGTACTGACAGTCCTGTATCCACTGCGGCGTCTCCTTAATCACACCACCGATGGTCTGGAAGAGGACGTTGGCTTTGAGGTTACCCTCCGTGAACATACTAAGCACTCTTCCGTCTTCCGTACCGGCGGCGAAGTTCTGCCCAATGACGGCAGGGCACGTTCTGTTAGCGTACGGATCAGCACTGGTAGATGTGACACCGTCAAGTGTGACGGCCGAGAAGTCGACGTAGGAGAGTTTGGCGACGACGGAGCCCTGGATGAGCTCGGAGGTTCCTTTGATCAGGGATGAGAGCGTGTCGTACTGCCGTTTGCCCATAATCTCGGCGGATTCGATCGATGTATTGCCCTCACCACTGAATGTTCCGTCTCCATTGTCGATGAGGTTCGGACTCACGTCACCAGCATTGGTGATACCGATCCCAACCACGACGTCGTCTAGTTCGTCTTCGAGTAAGAACTCGGCGTACCCTTTGTTATCCCCACTGATAAGGCGGTTTTCTACGGTTAGACTGGTAGGGTGGACCGGGTAGAACGCCAGTACACCTCGAAGCTTGCCAGAACTACTGAAGAAGTGAAGTGCGCGCATGGTCGTGTCAATATCGCTGCTGTATTGTGCACGTTCACTGGCCAGGTTGGCAAGGTAGGCGTCTGGGGATCGGTTCTTGCCTCCCTTGGTGACTTCGCCCTTGTTCCATCGGATAGTACCGCTCTGTACAGAGTTGTGTGCTGCGTCAATGGCGCTCATGATGCCACTGACGATCTTGTCGAAGTTTTCGCTGATGTATCCGAAGATGGAGACATCGTAGAGAAAGTATCCAGCGGTTCCTCCTGGTCCGGCGTGGGTGTGCGTGGCGTGTAGAATGACGTTCTGTTCGGTGTAGACTCCGTTGTATTTCGTGGCGAGTTGTGCCAGGACTTCTTGGTGTACCAGTTGCATGACCGAGTGCAAGTCGCAGTGGACGAACATGACGCGCTCGTTGGTATCGGGGTCCTCTATGAGGAATGCTCTTGCGTAGAGGCGGTTGAGAATTCCAGCGGCGCTTTCATCCGAGCTGGCGAATCCCATCATGATTACTTCGGCTGCAGGACCAGTGATGTCGCTCTTACCGACGCCGATGTTGTACGTCGCCACAGTGTGCCGGGTAAGTACACCAAGCAACAGGACAAACAACCACGATAGAAGGGGCTTGGGCGACGGCATTGCCCCTTTGTTTTGGTCAGAGGAAAAGAGCTTTGAGGACTGCGTAGCAGGTTTGGAAATGGATCGATCTTGCTCGAGGTTTTGGAGTATTCTACTGCCCCCGGCACACACATGCAGCCATTTGTCAGCTCATCTTGATCAGTTGTTCCGGTGGAGAGAGGCCACATTGCAGTGCCACGTTGCCTCCTGGTTAAACCATTCCAGAGGCACTGCATGATGTACAGGAGTTCATACTCCAGCTAATATCGCCCCCGTGAGTGCCATCTGAACTATGTTGAAGTGGGCTGTTCGTGGTTCAACATCATCGATCCAGCACTACTACAAAGGATCAGTGTCCCAGTCCACGATGATTAGTCTCAGAAGTATTTGTAAGGCCATACAGTACACAATCAATGGTGTTTAAATCAATGTACACTTGAAGTTAAACCATCCGGAGCCTTACTTGGATGATTAGTCCGACGGGAATTTCGGTCATCATATATGCAACGTAGCATGCTGAGTCATCCAACGGAGGAGTAATCGGACTGATCCATCGGAACTTCAATATACAGTACCAACCCGACGCCCCCGCTCACGACCTCTACGATCCCTCTACGTGGTTTACATTCGTGCTGACGGTGTCTTCCACTCCATGTTTTCATCGCTTCCATGGGCGCTACTGCCTGCCGATGTATAGGCGCAATTGCTGCTGACTGCAGTGGTCATCCCGAATACTAATCATATTCGAGCACAAGGTAGTGACGATAACGAGCATCACCGATTCTCCACCAGCAATTTGATTTTTGTTCGTCGTCGCTGGATCGCTTGAGATACCCGAAGTATCTGAAAACCTTTCAACCAACGTGTGCGTGAGCGAGTTCGCGACGCTAACTCGTAAAAATACTGAACCCTCCCTGTCAACAACAACCTCTCTCCTTCATTATCATCATTGATTCCACTAGAGTCAATAGTACTCAAGCGCCGATGGCGTTGACGACGTAGCGCAGCAGAAAGAAACCACATGAGTTTGCAATCCCATAGAAAAATAGTCCAGAGACGAGAGACTAAAGCCGACAATGTGCTCACTTGCACGTGACGACCGAAGATAACTCGATCCACGACTGCGACTTTGGGCACGATCCACCGATCCAAAGCGAAGAGCTCCAAGGATAAAATGACCAGCCCAATGAGCTCGAATGTCAGCACTGAAAGCATGAGAACGGAGCGTCGAAAAGCCAATAAACGCATAGTACTAGGAGGCAAGGCGTCCAGTGTAATTGCCCATTGCATCCAAATCCATGCACCCCACACCCATACTACTCGGCAGTCCCAATTCAAAAATTGACCCAAAGCTAAGGACGCTACTGTGAGTTTTGTGGACAAAAAGAGGAAGTTGAACGATGAGTACAAACGTTTGAGTAGCTGTCGCTGGTATGATGCAAAGAAGACTCCACAAAAGACGAGAGAAGCGAAGAATGCGATAATCTGAGTCCGTGCCAGACCTGGCCTGATATGGTCCAGGTTTTGGTCTTTAAAAATCCACGCAACCAGAGCACCCAGCACCAAAACACCCATCCCAACGTAGCCCAATGCATGAAATATGTGTAGTAGTATACGACGTCGTGTGTGCGAGGATGACGAACCTAAGATTCGGTCCAGAAGATAGCCAAACCCCGGTACAATCGTTTTGTAAGCGTTGAAATCTGTTTCAACGGGTACAAATTGCAGCTGGATGGTTTGCGCGTGACCGTGTCGGTGGCGTTGCTGTATTTTCGGCCCAAATAAAGGAATTTGGGCTCGAGAAGCGTCTGGAGTGTGATAACTCTCTAAAGGCTGGATACTTAGTACACTTCCTGCCCGAGAGCGGGTAGACGGACCACTGGTACTGGGTAAAGAGCCTGTACTTCTTGCTCGCACGATAGTACTTCGAATACTATTAGTTTTCGGTCGTAGTCCGACCGTGCAGTAGTAGCTTACACAGCGTCTTCGACTTGGAATATAGCTGGTCTCGGCATTAATACGGCGTACTGTCACAGAATCTTGTTCGCGCATTGTGATCCAATTTCGATATACTAATCTCCCAAAAAGTAGAATCATGTTAAGTTGAGTATTCATTAGCGTATCCCGGATGGAAAAACCATAGCCACTGTTTGAATACGAAAGAATGAAGTTATCTCCGTTACCACTATCATCCACGCGCTTTAGGAACACCATCAGGAACATCGCAAAGTGCGTCCCACAATTAATGACACTGGACAGGAAAATCTGTCGTCTATCGCCCACAAGAGCATCCGAGCCGATGCTTATCTGCACGATCAAACAGCCAACCAAGACCACAATGACACGGATGTCGCGGAGAATGGCAGTAAAACACCAACCGAAAAGGATGTTGTTTACGGTAAAATACCAGAAATCGTATGTCCCGAAAAGTAAGAAGAGCATTTCAATGCGTATCGAGCCAATAATGAACAGCATGCCAGGAAATTGGAGTATCGGAGCCAGCACTGCCATAATGGACCCGGTTTTTTTAGGAGCAACAGTGGTTGATAGCATGAGTACATTACCGATATGTAGCATAAAAGCGATAATATGTCGCCACTTGATTCTGAAGTCATTCAGACGTCGGATTTGGTCCTGATTGAGCAGCATGGTCTTGAGTGTTTTGGAAGCATCGAACGCAGGTAAGTCCTCTATTGGGACCAACTCGTACAATGGCGGTCCTGCATGCGTAGTTGTCACCCCCGTACGTAAGAGTTCATGGCTAGTATTCCCTCTTAGAAGGGATCTTCGCCAGGCTTGACGTATATTATCTTGGCTGAGGACGCCAGGCTGAGGTGCAATCGCGGCGAGTCGTACAACCGAATTTCGGCCAGGCCAGGCCCCTGTCTTCATGTGGGCTTTTCAGTATTTCGAGCTGTTTTACGGACGTAGAGCCAAGACCATGGAAATTGTTGGCGAGATAGGGAGCTCGTCGCACGTAGTTGGACTGATGAGACGAAGCCAAGAATAAATTAACTCAAACATCTTTAGATCCATATTTTGGTAAACTTAAAGGACGAATGTGACGGTGGCACTCGAAACGGACGAGTTGTATTCTACATCCCGTTATAGCGATCCCAACTTTGTTCTGGAAAAGTGGCATCAAGATAACATGGCTGTACTATCCTAGCAAAAGGTGGGAATAGAAAAACTTCTTTATTTAATTTATTTAGAGGAATTGGGCTGGCAGTGTCGAATTTTGCCGGGTCAACGCCTTTCCGGTCGATAACCCTCAAATGTAGAAGATGTTTTCACCTTTTTACTGTGTTTGTCATTACTATTATCGTTTATTATACTATTGACGTTCTACTGTTCTAGTAGTACTACTTCAATAGTATAATACTTAAAGTATATAATATGCATTCTATAGGCTAACCTGGGTTGGAGAGTACGAAGAAAGTTGCTAACTCTATCTTTCTTCGTTCTCGCCTATCCACATCAGTGGAACGCGCAGACTCCCACTTCTACTTTCTCAAGTGCCGCGGTAGCCACTTTCCCCCACACCGGGGGAGCCTTTCGCTACCGTTGTATCGAGTCTGTAGAGGCCACACACAGTCTGTCATGCCAGTCCATGCACGCACAGTCTCCGCGCTTGATGCTCGAGTCTTGTCCGGAGGCACTGAAGTTGGGCAAGCATCCTGCTCTCACAGTCGCTCAGCATTGTTGGATCACTCACACACATCCACCAAATCTCGCACGTGCCCTCCGCAAGTGCCACCGACGCTTCAGTTTACAATAAAAATGGACAACGCTCAAATAGCTAAATATTGGAGTGAAGAATATGCTATTGGAAGAATAGATCTTCCTGATGATACCTGTAGGGCCGAGCTGGAGGAAATCAAACCGCTAAAGGTTGAACCTATATTTGTTGATGTCTACGGTGACACGGAGGAGGGAGACCCAAAAGACTACAAGTTCCGATAAAAAGCTTAGCCAATGCAATGAAGCAACTGTACGTTGTGATCAAGGACATCATCGAGAGCACTAAGGAAGCATGGGAACTGAGACCGACGTCTTATAATGCGCTGAAGTCCCTACCTGAAAGTATGAGACAGGGACCCCATTAAGACTATCCGACTTTCGAGACAAGCACGACAATGTTACAGAAGAACTGCGTCCAGGCCTAGCTGATTGTGGCGCTTGTGAATGGCATACAATTCATCGTATTCCCTTGTCGGTTAGATAGCTTTGTCGATATGGATGATGCAAAGGTTCTAGTCTTGAATAAGGAGCAGATTTTAGTATTCCCAGGAGACCTGGTGTATGCTGGTGTAGACTTCAATGACGAAAACGTCCGGCTTCACTGCTGTGCATTGATCAAAAGCATCGAGCAGAAGGAGGACACTCCTGAGGTTGATGCATTGGCACGCTATCTGTGCGAGACCTGCCTGCTTATGAGTGAGTCGAGGCGCCATTTGGCAAACCATATCTTGACAGTCAAGAGTGTAGGTAGCCGCGACGAGGAAGAAGACGATTAAGGAGCTGCCAATAACAAAGGGGCTACACGTGAGAGCCGTGGTAAGTTATTTGCGAAGATAATTTCTTTTACTTTCAGTATAGGCGCCGTGCAAGACTCAAAAGCTACGGGAAGAGGAAAGCAGCGCTGAAGAGGACAGAAGTAACGAGTAGGGTGTTGCAATACACAGCATTCATAGCGACTTGGCAGTGTTATAGTTGGTGCTGAGATTATCAGAATAAAACTGTCACGTGACACAGATCCATCTTGTCATGTGACACTGATTTACACTGCCACTTGACACTGATTCATGCTGTCATGCGACCCTGATCCACACTGTCACTTGATATTGACCCATTCTGTCATGTGACACGGATTGCTTGATACTCGTTCATGCTGTCAACTAGCATCTAAGTCATGGTATTTCCGCTCTTCGTAAGGGTATCAAGCAGTAACACAACGTATTAGACTAACGAGAGAGTCGGCCCGTTGAGAATTGGGCGCCCTCGTGCTGGCTGTTGGGTTGCCACGGCTTCGGAAATTTCCTCAGCAAGGCCTCGTTTTCTTTTCCTCTGGCTTCGGTTGAATATCGAGCGACGGCGGAGCCGTAGCGCACGTACAAGGCAAAGTACAAGTGTACGCGCTCGACATACTTAAAGTAATACTTGCAAGGGCACGTACGCTTGCCGATACTAACCGCCCGCCCTGCATCAGGTTTACAATTCAGCTCCATTCTGGCATTATTATTTCTCATCTGTGCGCAGATCTCTATGAGATCGACATTTTTTCTTTCGCGGGCTTGCGTTGATTCGTGGAGTGGTCTCACGCTCATAAACAGGTACCTGGGTCGTCGTCAGAGCAAGGGAATGACGGCATCTCCTCAATCAGCTTCCCCCCTCATCCCTGTTACCCGCAGTCGTATTTTGAAGGTGGATTTGGCTTGTTTCGCGATCACGGCCCCAAGTACACTCTCGTGTTCGCAGCAGCGGTCAAACTGGGAACGAAGCGAGCCCAATGTCACTCGCATTCTGAGTGTGTTCACCTTTTGGATGGTAGCGTTAAGTGTTTGATCCGGGTTCTTAGCTGTAGCAAAATCGGAAGGTGTACGGAAACACTGCCATTTGGCAAAGCTACCGGTTAACCACTGGTGATAAAGAAGACGCCCAACTCAGCCGCTGCCATAGTCTTGCGAGCGTAGAACTGAGGCTCAGAAGTGACGTTGTGCATTTCGTATCCATCCGATGCAATAAGGGCTAACTTACCGGGGTGGCACGTTGCTGCCGCGCTCAAACAACTTCGCTATCATATGCTAAACGCTCATCAAACACGCCACGTTACTATCTCAAAATGCTTCCATTACAGCGTTGAACTGGGAGCCATCGGCTTTTTCCATGACATCCCGCACCACAAGCGACTTCAACGTAACCATGAATTAGATGTTCTTCCAAGATGCAAACATGGTGGAGTACTGCGATTCTGTACGCTGTGAGGATACAAATAACCAAACAAGATGTAACACTCTGGTCTTGTCCCGGCATACAAATTCATTGTAAACCATTGAAAGTTGCGTCAACGTGGAGAATAAACGTGTCTGGGTTGTGGTCGAGACGCCTCAACAGTGCTTTTGTTGTGTATCCCACGAACAATTTACCAGTATTCTCCTAGCATTAACCTGCCGTCTGCGCGGGGTTTTATAGAAAAAGAAAACGCGTCAGCCTCGGGTCCTTTGTATCCTTTGGTCCAGACCATTATCCCCAGCTCATCCAAATCGACGTAGTTGTTCATTTTAGTTTTGCTGTAGTCAGAAACAATTTTTTGCAGCTTGACAAGCGATGGAGCCAAACCTCCGTTTTTATTATCAATTCTGGTATGAATAAGCACAGGTTGACGAAAACCTGAGCCAGATAGCTGGCCACATCTTTATCCCTCTCGTTCAACTTGACAGTCGGAGGATACGCGCAACGAGCTATATGCTGTCCAATTTCGAAAATGTCGACGGCATTGTTCTGGGGACAGATCAGAACCTTGACTAGCCATGCGTTCATCTTCTCCACCCCTGGAGCATGTTGGAGACTCGAACTTTAGAATACGGTACCCCATTGTGTGTGGATCATCTCCCAAACAGTTAGAGAACCCCACGATGTTGCTGGCACCGACCCTAAATTGGTTTTGGGCTTTGAGCTCGTCAATCAAAGATTTGGCAGCTTCAACAGACATGTGCTTTCCAGCAAAATACTTTGCAGCGTACGCGGTATCCGCGTTTATCTGACATAGAACATAATAACGTCAATGTTGAGTGACTATCTCCTTGATCGATTTGTTGAGCCCAGGAAGAGCATTATCAAGCTGGTAACGCGGTATCGATACCAGCCTCACATTGCATGTTTGCTTCAGAAGTTTTTCAACTTCGCATTGGTATCTGCTGGGAAAACTTCCAGTAATTATCTGGAATCGATTGTGAGTGGCTCTCGGGTTTTTTTTTTTCTTTGGCTGTGGGGGAGATGATTATACTAGCGTGAAGAGGGGGGGG